TATTTATTTATTTATCTATTTATTTTTTAAGAACACACACTGTGAGAACAAACAGATGAGTGCTGCAGGTCTGGGTTTTGGCAACAGGCAACAGTATCATTAGAAAACTTTGCAATGCCTCTTTAAGTGAATGGTGCAGATCAGACAAGATCACTGAAAAGTGACCTGATAAAGAAGCAGTTAAAATAAGCCAAATAAAGAAAACAGCAAAAAGGAATAATATGACAAATTAGTGACTCGAAGATCACAAAGAAGCCAAAACATTACTTCTGCAATAATAATTGTAGAACAAATGTTAACCATAAATCAGAGAGTAAAAACCCAATACCTCCTTCCCGTGTAACTCCCCAGCCTGTGATCGAGCACGTCATTCCTGGAGGAAAGACATGAGAGGATGCAGGGAGGCAGATTGGTTGGACGGTGTTGCTGAACTCTAGAGGCTCACTAAGCTTTAGCAGAGCAATGTCGTAGTCAGAGGTCACTTGATCATAAGATGGGTGGAGGATGATTCTCTTCACTTTACGCATCTGAGCTTTCTCTGGCTCATACTGAGACTGCAATCCACTGTACGTAATCCAATTGGCTTGAAGACCATGTCTGTTGAAACATTACAAACATTAGGTAAATAATTTACTTATATTTAATCCCTGTTTTTTGTTTGTTTTTTTTTTCAGGATTGTTCACAACTTTATCCTTCAACTTTCTGCGGTGGTCCTTTTTTGTAGTTGTTGTGGCTCAAAGCAGTATTTTAAACTGGACCTGCTGTCCTTTTTAGGAACATGTCCAAGGAAGGAGACTCCGAGTGTTAGGTTCTCAGAACTGGGTGAAGTTGCAGTTTACCTCTCACAGGGTGGCAGGCTAATTGATTTACGGTAGCTTCCATTACCTCAGTCAGTGGTGACCTTTAAGAAGGAGCAGGCTCCCTCAGGCAGATGGTTATTGTATCCAGAGCACTTCAGGATCCACTCTGGCTAAGACTTTCATTGTATCTATCCCCTGTAGGCTTATGTCCTGCTCCTTCCACAGCTAACCTACACAGCACACAAGTATCTGTACTTTCTATTCCTTACATTTTTAAAACAAACGTCACTCGTTACTCTTGGCTTCAGTTTAATGTTTATAAATATTTATTTCACGTCATGTGCGCCATCTAATGCAGATCATTGTCTCCATCCACATCTAGTGAAAACTAGTGTAATTGGATGAGTTGTATAACACAAACACTCATTGGTTAGCTAAAGGAAATCATCAGAAGCAAGCAGGTGTTCTTGAAACTGCAAACGCGAATAGTCTATGCCATGCTACAATGAACGGATTCAGAAAAAGATTTTGAAATGTCTGAAAGGTCGGACACAGGCGAGAACGTATCGGGAGACGGAGACCAACAAGACCTCCCTCTTCCTTGGCCCTATCTCAAAGAACATTTTGAAATAGTTGAAAAATTTAGCTTTCAATTCATATAGTGGCATCTGGCTGTTTTTTTCTAAAGGTTACTTTATACTTTTAGTTTTTGGAGCACATACTGTTTCACTTTTACTTAAGTAAAGAGGTCAAGTTGATACTTTTACCAGAGTGTTTTTAAACTGCATTAACTATACTTCTCCTCAAGTAACAAATTTGTGTACTTTTGACACCACTGTTTCTTGGGTGAGTATTTGGGTGCTATTTTTACTTCTTTTTTAAATAGAACTTTTTTCACATTGTCTGGTTTAAGACGGTTTCTTTGTTGACTAATTTAGGCAATTTAAACAGTAGATTTATCAGGTTGTGTGGACGTTTTGAAGACCCAAATGCAGAGAGGTGTAAGCACTGATGAGTTTGGATGATTTATTAAAGTCCAAGGGGAACAGAGGCAAAAATACTGAAAACCAAACAAAAACCAATAACGTGAGGGGAAATATGTTAGAGAAGCTAGAGACTAGAAGGCAACAAAATAAACGTCTACAACACACAAGATACCAACACTGAATGAAGGCTCTGGTGCTCTTTTAAGCCGAGCACTATGATTATAAAGATTATTTTCACCTGTGTAGGCTACCCAAGTTCTCCACAAAGATCTTCTACAATAGAGATGCACAACTCGCACTAACTCACACAAAGAAACCCTGACAAAATTATTAAGACAATTTAATTGAGATAGATAAATAGGGTCAAATAATATTAGGGAATAAATGTCGTACTCATGCTGGTGTCTTTAGTATGGAAGAAAAAACAAAAAGATAAAAAATTGTGATGTACCATCACAATCATCATCTGCTTCCAACAAGCTAAAATCTCTCCCTCCGGGATCATGGACTTCTCCTAACCATAAGCTGCCTTAAACTACTTAATGCAACATGCCATCATCCATACTCATCCACTTAGCAATTTGTCTTGCCTTCCCGAACCCCCGCAGTTGTTTCCATATTCTGCTCTCCTTTTGCATATCCAAGAAAATAAACTGTTTATATCTGCTTCTCTCTGTGCTTGTTCCTACCTAAAGAGTCCTTTTCTTAAGCAAAAAGTTGGATGACAGAACATGCATTTCATACAATCCTTGTTAAATTAATATAACTTCAACAAAAACACAATGTTAAAAGATGCTTTAAAATACCAGATTATTTCCAAATCTTAGTGTTTAACACTTTACAATAGTTTTATCTTAGTAAACTCAACCATTTTGATATTGTAAAAACATTTCTGGAAAACAACCAGCTGATAAATGGTTGTATCGTGACTGTGCTTGCACTAATATGGTTATAGTTATGGTTAGTACGGTATCAACAGCCTGAATTGATTTGTTTTATTGATCAGAATTAAACAAAAAAAATATTTGAGTATAATGCAAAGAAAAAGTCTTAAAAGTCACATTAGTTGTTTGTTCTGTGCGTGTCTGTAAGTGCAAGAGCCTGTTACTCACTCATGGGAAAATTTGAAACAGTGAGCTGCAGACAAAAGCCACCTATCCGAGATGATTGAGGCGCCGCAAGCATGGCCAGATGTCCTGAAGTGAAGGCTGACCTGCCAGGGCCACTCTCCACTGTCTGCGTTCTGCCCTCCTATGATGCGTGTCATCTTGTAAGGCCTGATGCCGCAGTCTTAAATTCAACAGAGATTTACTTTAAACTTATTTAATGGTCAGAATGCCAGTCATTGCTGTTAATGATATAGATTATATGTAAATCCTAATAAGAAACACAGTATAAAGACAAATAAAAAACAGGAAAATAAGGAAACTCTGAGGCCTAAATATGAGAAACACATATATCAATAAAATAACACATTCAGACATGAAGCTGCTTTTAACAAAGAATAAAAATGAAGTAGCACATGCCCTGAGGCTTTTTTCCTAACAGACAGCCCAACATGAAACTTGCCTTAGTAACTATAATCTAGCTTGAATGACACTGACAAGATAAAATGGAAAAAAAACAAAAAAAAAAAAAAAACAATTGAACTGTCCAAAAAAAAAGAAAATTGAGAAATTTCTCACCACAGTGAGCTTCATCTGAATTATCAGAGCAGTCACTGACATGGTCACATTCAGCATTCACCTTGTTGATGCATTTCCCACTGTCGCATTTAAAGCTGTAGTCAGAGCACATATTTGGGGCTGCAAAAGGGGGTGAAAAAGAACAAAAGTGAAAACACACATTTAACTGGTAAAATACTATGCAATCAGTGAGAACACAGTGTGAGGCTTCAATGTAAGCAGATTGCGTTGATTGGGATTAAGGCCTAATATGCCTCCATATTCACAGAATTAAAACTCAAAAGCATGTGAGCATCTATGAACGGTACAGAGAAATCTGAAAGACATTGATGAAGAAAGAAAAGGTCGGTGGTAGAAAATGAAAGATGGAGTTAAAGAACAATGACAAGAAAAATATTTTTAAATAAAATTATGTCAAAAACAAAAAGTGTTAATCTCATCTTCTTACAGGATTTGCATGTGGCCTCATCATTTCCATCCTCACAGTCCATTACATTGTCACAGACAACATCTTGAGGAAGACAAACTCCATTTCCACACCTCCACTCGTTTGGTTCGCAATCAGCTGTCAAATAAAACATTTAGGAAAAAATTAATATAGACATCATACAGAAGGTCGACCTGTAGCAAAGATAATTTTAGCACCTGGCATCATATTTCTTGCAAGCATTAAAAGAGCTTAGGGATAAGAGACCACACTGTATCAGCACCAGCCAGGCATTAGCTGGCTACTGCTATTAAAGATGTTTAAAGTTTGATTTCAAAGCAGCTAAAGTCTTTGATCATGCCATGCGATTATGACAGCACAATGAGCAGACCTAATGTCCCATGAACAACCATTTAAAACCAGCTGACCATTAAGTCAACACAGCTGGATTACTTCAGATCTTACAAAAAATCTCTGTCCTTTGGGAATGCAGGTTGTTTTTCCTGCTGTCTCTATTCATGCCTACAAAATGATATTACCATGACTACTATAGCATATCAATAGCATTTTTTTGTTAACATTTGTTAGAGTTTGATTCTGGCATTGACCTATGTGCTAATTCATTGCTAACTGTGATCCAAAGAAACCACACAAGCTAAAATCAATGACATTTTCACTAATCAGCTCAGACTGATAAGTGAAGCTCTAAAGTAACTGTGCAGAATTTTTTTTGTACTGCTGTAAATTAAATGCTAGAAGCCCTTGTTTTCTTCTTTTCTTTCTCATCATCACTGCTAATATGATGGCAGGATTTTTTCCAAGTACAGGTAGACAAATCTGTATGCTATATTTACAATTATGCTGAAGACTGTATACCTTGTTCAATGAAGCAGGCTATGTGCAAATTGTAGGTATACATGAGTCTGTTAATGAAGAGCCTAGTGAATGCCAGACTGTGCAAAGGAGAGCTGATAATTGTTAGGAATCCAGTTTGTGTGGGTTGTGTTTTTGCTGTTTTTCTCTCCCTCCACCACCAGGTGGTGCCCTGTCCTCATTGGTCCTCCTGCACACCTGCGGCAGGTTGGCTCATCACTGAGGAGTATTTCAGCGACGGACTGTCACTACCTCGACGCCAGAGTGTTCGCCAGTTTTGGGTACTCTAGCCAAGCTGAGTTTAGCTGAGTCTAACTGAGTCTTTGTTTCTCTGAGTCTAACATTGTTTTTGTCTTTTGCCTTTCGGCAGGAAGTCATCCTGCATACTGGATGTTTGGCCTTCTCCCCCCGGAAGGATTGTTTGAGCTTCACACTGAGCAGGGGATTAATCTCCACACGTCCCGTTCAAGTTCTCCTGGAAATCTAAATGGCAGTCCGCTCTGCATTGGTCCTCAGGAACCAACCAAACCAAAACCTGTCCGCCCTTCAACCAAGAAACCTTTCTCTGCAAACGTGAGTCCCGTTTATCTCTGTTTTTGCAAGATGTTGTTCAAAGTTCCCATGGACCCTGAACTAACCTCTGTGAACTTCCCTTCTCACTTCCAGTTCCGGTTCACCAGCTCTCTGAGTTCCCCTGAATCCAACCCATTTGAACTCCTCAATAAACCTGTTAAACTTTTACTCTGGTTTCTCTGAGTGGTTTTCTGCACGTGGGTCAGATCTCTTAAAAACATTCTGACAATAATAACACTATACTTATTAATGTAGAGGGATCGTTCATTCCAGCTCCTTTTCGATGGAGCCAGACTAAAGGCCAGACACAGTGTGAATAGCAGCACAGTCACAAAACCATTATGTTAGATTTCTTGGTGTGCAGCCCGCATGATGCTTGTCATTATTAGGTTTTAACCCTTTTTCATGAGGAAAGTATGACCCATGCTCTTATAATTTCTCTGATGAAGCAAAAATTGTACCTGATAGCCAGGATTTGTTAATAACCAAAAACTACTGCTAGCTCTAGATTACTAAGAGGACCAGGGATACTCACTGCATTGTATCTCATCACTCCCATCTCCACAATCGTTGACATTATCACACTGCCACAATTTTGGCTTACACAAACCATTGCTGCAGGCAAACTGGTCCTTGTTACATCCTGAAAGGAGAAAAAATACAACATAAAAACCAAAGAAAATGTATAAAATAGATTTTCATCAACAACAAAATGATTAGATGCATGATATTAGTTTTCTGACAAGTAGAAGCTCAAACATTTGGCAGAATATCAGGAAACCTAAAATGTATATTAGCCCTAAAAACAGCAGTAAGACTAAGAACAGACAGCCAAGCTTTGCTTTTAGAGAACAGGAAAATTCTAGGTTATACCTATATAAAATGCTCTAAGTGTTAAATTAAAAGTTTATACTGTGTAAAAAAGTGTAGAATGACAACATTTGGTAGGTTTTGCACCATTTCTAAATCATTATCACTGAATGATTTCCTGGAGTCTGAAAGTGTGCCACTGAGGAGAGGATAAGATATATAATTTGGGCCATAAAACCACAGCTCGTCATTTTTATGCTACTCAGATTTCGTTATCTCAAGACAGATCTAAGCTAAGTGATTCCCCCTGCTCTCACTCTATTTGCTGAGCTAAGCCAACTGGCTGCTGGCAATAGTTACAAGACAGAGATGAGAGAGGTATCTATCTGCCCATCTGACTTTCAGCAAGAGGACCATTATGATTTTTTTCTTCTTTTTTTTTATAAACTATTTCTTTGTTTCAAATGAAAGGGGGACATGGAAGGGAAAATGATGGTGAGAAGAGCTATTAAGGGAATAAAAGAGTTGTATGATCAACCTACGGCAGTTTTTCTCATCACTAATGTCGCCACAGTCGTTCCAGCCATTACACTGTAGTTTCTTTGCGATGCACATGCCATTGTTGCAGGCAAACTCACCAGGGCAAGCTGCTCACAATCACATACACAGAAAAGAAGAGCATAAAGAGACAGCATTGAGATACAGTGAAAAGGAAGCAACATGTTTACAGCAGGAATTAAAAAGCAGATCAGGAAAATTCCAAATTATTGTTATTCATACAAGCTGACGTCAGAACAGGAAGGATGTACCTGTCAGACAGCTGTAAATAAAAGACACACAATAAATAAGCTTTGTGCCATATAGCCAAACTCTCATATTTCCCTTTTAAAGTTTCCAGTTTGACACAAGTAGATTTCTTTAACTTTACTGCCAATCAGTCGCAAGTCTTTTTTTTTTTTTTTTTTTAGGGCATAATTACTAACCATGAACTGTAGGGGCTGTAATGGTGGACAGAGACTGCCTTAGTCATGTTGTGACAATTCACTCATCTTTCAAATTTTGGTTTATAAGAGGGCAACAAAAATCAGAATGAACTCACCGTTAGAATGATTGAAGGCCTCATACTCTGCAAGAAAGCCCTTGTCAGTATAGGACTCATCAGAGTGAAACTTCACCTCAAGGACGTTAGAATCACTGGTCAAAACTAAGAATGATCGATCCCCACAATATCTGAGACACAGAGCCCATTAGTTTAAATGTGACTGATGTTTTAGTACACAAAAATGTGAGATGACAGAATTGGAACAAAATTACCAATGCACCAACATTTTGTATCGAGTAAGTGTTTTAGGTTAGACAGTAAATATTATAACCAGACAAGCAGTTTAACCTTGTATTGAATTATTTTCAATAATAAAAAAAATGTGAACAAACCACTTTTTAAAATCCAAATTAAGGCACAAGAAATGTCCAAATCTCACCTTTTTGAAACACAACACTTCCCTTCTAATTAATGGCTACTGTAAGAAATTAGCTCCTCATTAAAACTTGTTTGAATCTACAGTTAAAAAAAATCTCAAATTTACAATTATAACTGTAAACCAATTTCATTGTGTTACTAATAAAATGTCTCAATTTTAAGAAAAAGTACAATTAAAATGAGAAAAGACAGAGAAAAAATCTTAGCATCGAAATTTTTAAAAAGTTTATGTATCTGGTAATTCACAAAGACATTGTCATTGTCAGTTGTATACTTTTAGGCTTGAAATTAGGATCAAATCTTACCGTTGCCCCATGATCTCCACATAGTCCTTGTGACACCTGCTAGTGTCTACATTAGGCTCTTTCATGCTGAATATCTTGAAAGTCACACGTACTTTTTTACCTTGAGAAACCTGTTGCAAATAAATAAAAGTTACTGATTTGTAACATTACTGACCAGGTCAAGTCAATGCAAGGTAAATGTATTTGATTAGCACAATTCAGTACTAAGACAACTGAAATGGCTTTACAGTAATAAGACAATACAATAAATTTGAAATCAAAGCAGATTAATGGCAAGTAAAGATAAAAACACAATAAAAGCTGGTAGCATAGCAAGTAGAAAACAAAAACAAACTAATGATACTTCAGTTAACAGTTTAACCTTAAGAGTCAAAAGCAGCTCTAATCAAATGTTTTTAATTTGGATTTAAAATAATTCAAGCTTTCATCAATTTTAAAGTCTTCTTGGGGTTTTTTTCCTGATAAGTGGAGCATAGGAACTAAATTCTGCTTTTCCATATTTGGTTCTAGTTCTGGGTGTGCAGAGTAGGCTTGAACTAGAAGACCTGAGTGGTCTGGGAGTTTGATACACTCACAACAATTCTTCTATGTATTTAGGTGCTGATCCATTCAGTGAATTGTATATGAATTTGAAGGATTTTAAATTCTATTGTACAAGGAGCCAGTGTAAGGCATTCAGAACTGGGCTGATGTGCTGTACTTTCTTATTCCTACTGAGAACACAGGTAGCAGAGTTTTGGATCAGCTGCAGCTGTCTAACTTTTTAGGCAAACCTATGAAGACGCTGTTGTAGTAATCAAATCCACTAAGGATAAATGCATGAATGATTTTTTTCTAGAACCTGCTTGGACATTATTCCTTTAATCCTGGAGATGTTCTTCAGGTGCTTAAAGGCTGACCTGGTTACTGGCCTTTATATGCCTCTGAGGGTTGAGGTCTGAGTCCATAGTAACACCGAGATTTTGGACAAAATCAATAGTTTCAAGCTGTAGTTACTGAAGATGTTTGCTAACTGAGACCTCTCCTCCTATGATCAAAATATCGTTACCTTTTTTTTTTTTTTATTCAGTTGGAGGAAATGTTTTACACGTCCAATAGTCTGAGGAACCCATCACAGACACTCGCTGACATTGCAATGTAAAGCTGTGTCATCTGCATAGTTGTAGTAAATGATTATGCTTTTTTTAATAATCTGAACTAAGGGGAGAATGTAGTCATTCAATAGTAGGGGTCTTAAAATGGAACCTTGAGTGACACCAGATACATTTTCTTTCTGTTCTCTGATATAAAGATATTGACAAAAGAATGCTGACATAAAAATTCTTGCCATGCAAGTAAGATTTAAACCAGTCAAGTGCCAGTCAAGTATTTTACCTACATGCACAAAGAAAAAGACGCCTATACATCCAACAATAAGGCTCAAACAAATCAATAGTGGCTTACGGTTCTGAAACTTCAGAAATATCACCTGTATATATTTCACATAAACAAACGCAGAAACCAAACTCACACACTAAACCAAGCAGCTCAACTATAGCCTCAACAGCAGCATGTCAGATGCTGCTGTTGCGGCTATAGTTGATAGAAGTACTGAGCAGCTTGGCGTCAATAGTGCTGCGTCAGCATTCCTCTCTCCTCCCATAGCAGGCTAAGGATGGAGGAGAGGGAGCAGGGGACGTCCTGAGGAAGGAGGGGGCTAAAGCAGGGAAACATTAGGTACGAGGGTGAACTTAGGAGTCTTACAAACCTTGATGGTCCACTTGCAGTCCATGGAAGGAGGATAGAAGATTGGATGAAGTGGCGACGTGAATTTTCCATTGTTTCCAGAGAGTTTACCTCCACACTGCTGAGCTGAAATGCATTATAGTTGTTTTAACAATACCTCATAAATAATAAAATTGGTAGTTCACCGGTAGGTAATGGCAAATTACCCAGTAGTTCCTCTCTGTTTCCTGTGTAAATAACCAGTATTAGATGGGCTGTGTGTGTAATTAATTACTAGTCAACAACCCATTAGTTCCTCATTAGCTCCTGAAGTGTTCTCTACACTAAACAACTAAAGATTGAGAAATTAAATAAGTTATAGTTATTAGAAGAAAAAGACAATAAAGATAAAAACTGTAATTTATAACTACATTGGAATACTCTACATGATAATATAGTAGCCAAAAAAATATATGTCGATTTTCGAAACTACTTTAAAACAACATCACACAAATACAAAGAAAGAGATGATATTATAGAAATTACTCAAATAACAGCAATTCAATGAAAATCATTGATTACACATAATAATCTTGACAATATTATAGTAAGTCTACTATTAAAGGGTTATTCTGTAGCAATTTATCTTTTTTACTGTTTATATTAGTTTGTTTATTGAGGTATTTTACCTCAACTAATTATCAGAGGTTGAAGAAGTACTCAACTATAAGTAAAAGTATTGGCACTCATGTAAAAGTTACTCATTCAAAATTCTATTTAAAATGAAATGAATGTGAAATACTCCTATTTCACTGCTAGATGACAATAGTCCCTACAAAACTTCCCTTTAATTAGGAACATTAGTGATGACCAAGTAGTTTTTACATACTATGAAAATGCCTAAAGTGGATTTCACAAATACATTTTCCCACTCTGTTCAAGAGCAGGTATGCTCAGGGGTGAATAGGGCCAACAAAAAAGTCAGTAGAAATACTGAAAAGACACACTGTAATTTACAGTAGCTGTACATACATACATCATGCATTACATGATTTGCATTTGTGAGTTAACCATCACTTGCATTACACAACTCAAATACTTAGAGTTTAGAGTGAACATTAGATTATTTGGAGTTAAGCTAACTAGCAACAATAAGTCCCTATAGCTGTACAATTCAGGAAGAGGAAGTGGGCACCTGTGCATGTGCAGTTCATTCTCTTCCAGTCACCACACTCATCATTACACAACCCAAGTTGGAACACCGAGGGCAGCCTGTTGACTTTACATTTGTGCTGTTGTTTATTCTTTCAAATTATCAAAACAAGCATCTCTGCATTATAAGTTTTTCATAACATCAGCTAATGAAATACAGGCAAAATACTGTTCAGGTCATGGTTAAGTCCAGCTTTGGTGATATCCAAGCCTCCTCTGATAAGATTAAAACAAAATCTGTTGAAATCAAGATTCAATTTTAATTTCAAACAAAATTTAAAGGAAACTTTCCTCTTTGACATTGTAAGATAAATCTTGAGACCAATTCTGAATATGCAGTGCTGAATGGTAAAATTTCACAATACAATATACACTGTTACAATTCAGTTAATTAGCACACTTTCCTTAATGTTAAATCTATTTTAAAATCATACATAAATATATGAATTTTATATTTATATCAACCTCTCAAATGTATATCTAAAACCATATTCTGTAAATTATTAGATTATATTTACTTACAGGTACTTAGGAATTAAAACTGACCAAAGCCTGTCTTTTAACTACACTATGAGAGCATTGTAAGAAAGATGAAGCTAAACTTGCGTTTATTCTACAGGAACGAATCGTACCTTGGCTTTTTTTTTGCAAGAAAACATTGATTTTTTTTTTCTACTTTTTTACCTGTGCTGGATTATGGTGATCTGCTTTTTATAAATGCACTTTAAAAACACCCTAAAACATTGAGTGTACCATTGCATCCTGCATTTTATTATTGGTTTTGGAAATTTGGTTAACCATTGTACCCTGTATGCTGTATGCCGGGTATCCATCTCTGTATGTCCACTCTCACTGGTGCATGATTGTTTCTATATGTATTATTGGGCCCCTTCCGTTTATACCTCTGTGTTTACTTGTGTACATACAAATTGCGGCATTGCATGCGTTCACAGTCAAGTACTATTTTTTTTTTTGCTTACTACACCTGACTTACTTTTTTTTTTAGGAGTAATTTACCTTTAAACAAATAGTACCATAATTCTGCCAACAATGAAATAAAGAACAGATTTGTAAAACTGACAAAATCAAGTTTTGAAAAAAGAAAGTACAATTTCCAAATCTCAACACAAAGCTTTTGTAATGGACTTTATCGTCGTTTATGCATATTTGAATGCACTCTGTGGGCACTCCCTTTTTGCATGTTTGGTAAAAACGTGCTTGTTTTTCCCTCGTGGAGAAAATAAGAAGAGTAGCCAAAAATCAACAATAAGAATAAGATCAATTCAAAATAATGAACTTCGGTGAAAGTGTGTTTTTTTTTTCTCTCACTAACCTAGAAAATGTCACACAGCTAAACCAGAAGCCAATAAAAAACCTCAATATAATGATAATATGTTGAGGTTAAAGCCTCAACATATTATCTAAGTCTCTACTGTACATTTATTGTCAAGCAGTTATAGCTCTTCAAATTTCCTTTAAGTAACAAGGATAAACTAATGATATTTTAAAATTAAAGATGCATAGCAAACCAAGTTTGAATGAAAGCAAATAATGGGTATAATAATCATAGAATTAGATTGAGCCATAAAACTGAGGAAACTGGAACCACTTTGATTTTACCTTTAGTTTTGGGGATGATTGTGTACTGTGCCTGAAAGCCTTTCCTCTGGATATTGGTGTCAGCAATGAAGTTAATCAACATGATATTACCAGATGACACAACGCTCAGGGGGTTAGAGGGAGGCCTTTGGCCGCATTGTCTGTGAATAAACAAGGAAAAGCCACCAATAAAAAAAGGTTCCAAGTGAATTATAAAAATCAGGCAATATTCAGTAATTTTACTGAAGAGTGCAGATCTGGAAGTCTAAGATTAATACAACACACCATAAATTTGATGAATAGAAAAAAAAAACATTTTGATGTGCAGTCAATAGAGAATTTGTCAAGTAAGGAATAATATTTGTTAGATTAACAAAAAAAACAGGAGGAAATGTCAAGACGGTGCAAATTACGCTGAAAAAGCACCAATTTGCCTACCTCCTGTAGAATAATTTTATTACATGGTGTTATATTATCTCTCATAAACCCTTTCACTTTAAATAAGGCCTATAACTCAATAGTTGTATCTACAAAGTATTTATCACTAAAGCTGTATATCATTAACATTGGTTTCTGAGTTGTAAATTGCCTGCTGCTACATCTTGCATTTATGATCTGATATATTCATATTAAAACAACCTTCCCCACTGACAAAATTCAGCTAAAACCAGTGGTCCTTCTTCTAAAGGACCTGAAAGGAGAGGTCCTTCTGTCAACTTAAACTCACTCATTGCTAAAAGCTTAGAGCAAAAAGAAAAGGCTCCAGTGGCAAATGAAATGTGAAGATAAATGCTATTACAAAGCCATAAAAAGGAATGATGTTTAACATAATCCATGTATATAAAAAACAACTTTTATTTTAAAATCCCTGTCCAGGCTGTGCTCTGGAATCCCTGCTCTTCTAAGCAAAATAAACGTAACAAATTTTGCGGGAAGCCCTTGAAACAAAGGGTGCTGAATGGTTACCGAAATCTCTGAAAGAATGAAATCTCTGCCATATATAAATGCACCAAGGTAGAATGAGATAATGCATGTATCTGTAACTCTTCTGTAAAAGAGGAGAGGGACCACTGCTCTATCCAGCTCTATCCAATTACAAATTAGGGAACTAAGGATAATAGGCAATTCAAAATTATGACAAGGATAGAAATAGGGTGCAGACAAATACACTCACCGGCCACTTTATTAGGTACACCTGTCCAACTGCTCGTTGACACTTAATTTCTAAGCAGCCAATTACATGGCGGTAACTCAGTGCATTTAGGCATGTAGACATGGTCAAGAC